AACAGAGAGTGAGACCCCTGGAGTGATTCTAGTCTTGACTCCAGGCCTTCCCAAAGCCCATCTACATCCTTGACCATGGATTCTCAGACACCCTTGTTCCCTTGTCACAAATCCCCTTTGTCCTCTTACATTAACTGCAGGGGGCTTCTGTTACTTGCAACCAGAGTCCTAATTGACAGAGACAATGTCTGTAAATAACTGTAACCCATTCACAGAGGTGTCCACAGTCCCGTGTGTACCTGCGGATGTGACCTGCCAACTCGGCTACATTCCCAGGCTACGTTCTCCAACTCAGTCTATGGTCCTGTCTCTCAACTCCCAACAGCTTGATCTGACTCTCTCTTATAACACGTACTGCCTCTTCCTGTCTGTCTTATATGTTACCTTCTAGAGACCATAAAGACTCATGCATGCCCTAGCTGGTGTGGCTCAGTTGCTTGGGTGCTGTCCAGTGCACAGAAGGGTTGCTGGTTGGATTCCTGGTCTTTGGGCTTGATCCCTTGTAGGGGGCATGCAATGTTTTTCTCTCACCTTGATGTTTCTCTCTCTCTCTCTCTCTCTCCCCTTCCTCTTTCTAAAAATCAATAAACTATTCTTAAAAAAAAGATTCATGCACAATTCATCTTCGTACTTCTCCCCAAACATGTGTCTTTTGTATGGAAAATGCTCAGTTCAATTTATATGCAACAACCAGGGGAGTGTGCATATTCTTAATGGGTAATAATAATCTGTTGCTATATAGAAAGCATTTTCAAGTTCATTTTCTGCTGGGCATTCAACTCTTCAGAATTTAGATATTAATAATTCTATATAATAAAAGGGTAATATGCAAATTGACCCTAACAGCAGAATGGCTAGGAATGACTGGTCACTATGACACACATTGACCACCAGGGGGCAGACGCTCAATGCAGGAGCTGCCCCCTGGTGGTCAGTGTGCTCCCACAGGGGGAGCTCTGCTCAGCCACAAGCCAGGCTGCCAGCTGCCAGTACAGCGGTGGTGGTGGGAGCTTCTCCCGTCTCCCTCAGCAGCGCTAAGGATGTCCGACTTCAGCTTAGGCCTGCTCCCCGCTGGCAAGTGGACATCCCCCGAGGGCTCCCGGGCCGCCAGAGGGATGTCTGACTGCCAGCTTAGGCCCAATCCCCTGGGGAGCGGGCCTAAGCCAGCAGGTGGTCACCCCCCAAGGGTCCCAGACTGCGAGAGGGTATAGGCCGGGCTGAGGGACCCTCCCTGCCCCCCGAGTGCACAAATTTTGTGCACCGGGCCTCTAGTCTATATATATAAAAGCCTAAGCGACCAGATGACCAGATGACCGGCTGGTAGCTATGATGCACACTGACCACCAGGGGGCAGACACTCAATGCAGGAGCTGCCCCCTAGTGGTCAGTGTGCTGCCACAGCGGGAGCACCGCTCAGCTGACAGATGGGTGCCAGATGTGTGCCAAACTCCAGGCTCATGCTCTCCTGCAGACACTCCCCCTGCGCTCCCGAGCTGCAGTGGCAGGCACAGTGGGGGCTGAGATGAGCGGGAGCAGCAGGGCACCCAGCCTGGGCTCAGGCTCCTCCCCGGCCGCCTGCCGCTTCATGCACTACTTCGTGCTGTGCGGGATCAATGCGGACAGCAGGCTGGAGCTCGATGAGCTGGTGGGTAAGGCCGGGCTGTGGCCGCGCTGAGGTCCACTGATCCCTGCAGGCCAGGTCGAGGGACCCCCGTGCAGGAATCTGTGCACTGGGCCTTTAGTAATAATCATAATAGCAGCTACTAATTATTGTGTACATATTCTATGTGCTAGGTAAGAAAAAGAAGCTCTTGATGCTCAGAGAGACTAAGTGACTTACCCAAGATCCCAAATTTACATGTCACAGATCTGACCACAGGGTCTTATTTTCAGGCTGCAAACCGGTGCTCTCTCTGCCCGAGCAGCAGGATCTCAGGGGCAGAGTGCAGGCTGCTCAACCCCTCCCCGGGCCCCCTGTGGTCTGACTCAGGTCTCCTGGGCAGGCCCTGCCTCTGCCCTGACTCCCTTGGGGACAGCAGGCTTAAGGTCACTGGGTTTGCCAGTCTGGCTAAGTCAGGAGAATTCCGTTCTTGGAGCCACTGTGGTTACCATGGCACCTTCCCTAGGCTTCTCTCAGTGTAAACCTGGGGGCGAGCTGTTTTGAAGCAAATAGGGAAAACAGAGAAATTCTCCCACTAATGCCGGCAACTAGCAAACAGCCTGCCTTTCCTCGAAATTTCTTTCAAGGCCCCACAGGTGGGTCCTGGGGCCGTGGAGCCCAATTCCTCCATTTCACAGGTGAGGAGACTGAGTCCCAGGGTGCTTAGTGTCAAAGAGGATTTGTGCCTCGCCAGGAGGGTCTTTGGAGTCAGAGAGACCTGGGTTCCAGTCCAGCCCCTGCATGACACTGCACAAGCTCCTGAACTGCTCTGAGTCCTGGGTCCCCCCTCTGTAAACTGGGGATCATGGTGCTCCTTCCCTGGAAAGTGCATTGTTACAGGACTCAGGAGGCATGGGTTCTGGGCTAGATCCTGCTACTAATTTGCTTCACTGAACACTTTGGACCTCAGCATCTTTTTCTGTAAGTGAAAAGAGATGATGCCTAAGCTCTTTTCCAGGCCTGAATGCTGTGCATTTGGTGACAGAATGCTATCTTAGGGCTCCTAAAGCGGTGTTTCCTTCACCACCCCACCCTGCCAGCAGGGCTCCAGGACCAGCCAGGAGGCCAGCCAGGAGCCCAGCCAGGAGGCCAGCCCCCGGAGCCCGAAGTTCCTCTGCTGGAGAGGGAGAGATGCCTCTGACCCCTGAGGGCACGAACTTTCCATGAGGGCTGGGTGTTGGCGTTCAGTCTGGCTCCCCAGGGTCCACCTCCGGTTCTGGTCCTGCCCAGGCCTTGTGGGGACAGGCTGGGGAGGACAGGGATGGGCAGGGAGAGAAGGATACCTTGAATAAGGAGACTGTGCCCGTTTGACAAGGTCAACTGAAAGCAAGTTATAACACCCCCTGCATCAGAGTGTGGAGATGAGAGATGGGCAGCTGCCATGCTCCAGAGAGTGACTCCTGAGGATGAAGGGGGAGGGGCGTGGCATTAGGGATTCCACTGGAGGGAATGGGAACTCCCGATGGGGGGTTGGTGGGATGGAGTGAGAAGCTGAGGAAATAAACAGAGAGAAAAAAGTAGGGGAAGGACGGGGGAAGAACTGCCTTTCGTCTAAGAAAAATGACAGCTGGATTAAAAGGCCAGGAGAGAGTGTGTTCACGTCCACTATCATGCTGCTCGCTCACTGTCCCCAGGAGCCCGGCAGGGAGGCCCAGCGTCCTGTTCTCGGAGTAGAGTTCCAGAGAAAGCCTTCTCCCCTGGGTCACACTTGACTGCCGGGGCTGCTGGGGCCCCTCCTCAGAGGCCCTTGCTTTCTGCCTGGGACTCTTAGGCCTCTATTCATGCAGATCTATGGGCCCTGGGCTGGGGAGTGTGAGCCTGTCCCACACTCCCCCTTAGCCACTGCCCCTCCCCTGCTGCCGCTCACTCATTTTCCAAGGCCCTTCTAGTCCCTGCCGGTTCACCCTCCACACGGAACAAACAAATCCTGCAATTTGACACTTGTGAGTGACTCCAGGCAGGACCCAGCACACCATTCCGTACGTGTGCCCAACACTGGCTAAATCCCACGGTGGATTCGTCTAAATCTGGGATCACTGCTTCCCAACGTCAAGGAAGGAAGGTTGATCGGCACACGTGGTTATTGGAATAATAGTACCAGCCAAGACAAGAGTTCATTGAATGTTTCCAACGGGTCAGGCACTGCAACAAGCTCTATAGTTGCATCGCCTCATTCATCTCCTGCACAATCCTATGAAATAGGTATTATTCTCATTTCCTCTTTACAGGTAAGGGAACCGAGGCTTGACGAAGTTGATAAATTTATCCGAAGTCACATAACTAGCATGTGACAGACCCAGTGCTCAAACCCAGGGTCCCTACTCTTAATCACAGAAAGTCACCTCTCAGTCTCAAAACAAAGATGCATTTATGCCAATAAACCATGTCTGTCTATTTCTGGGTCACTCTTCGTAGGATGTGACCCGAACACTGGTGCATCCTGTAGGAATGCTTTAAGCTGCAATGACAACAACAAAATGACGAGCCATTACGGAGTGGCTTAAACAAGAGGTCTTGAAGCAGGCAGTCCAGAGCTGGCGTACTAAGAGCTCAACAGCGTCACCGAAGACTCAGGTTTGTTCTGTCTTTTTACAGAAAACCTCACCATATTAGCTTTTCGTCTTCATGCTCATTGCTTAGTGATTGCAGGATGGCTGCTACAGCTCTAGGCATCATATCAACATCCCAAGGGGTTTGGTCAAACAGTCTTCTTCTGACGGGGCTTTGCTTTCTTTAATGGAAAAAAAAGGCTGTCAGTAGATTTCTCTTTGCATTTCATTTGGTTATGTATCTCCCCATAGACCAATCACTCGTGTGGGAAAGTATTATGATGGCCCCTGCTTAACAAGTCATCCCAAAACCTAGTGCCGTGGTCGGCAAACTGCGGCTCTCGAGCCACATGCGGCTCTTTGGCCCCTTGAGTGTGGCTCTTCCTAAGCCTTAGGAGTACCCAAATTAAGTTAATAACAATGTACCTAACTATATAGTTTAAGTTTAAAAAATTTGGCTCTCAAAAGAAATTTCAATCGTTGTACTGTTGATATTTGGCTCTGTTGACTGATGAGTTTGCCGACCACTGACCTAGTGGCTTGAAACAACAGCCACTTCTCCGTCAGCTGTCAATGGATAGCTGAGTAGTTCTCTGTTCCGAGCCGGGCCTGCCTGATCTTGGCTGGGCTAGCTCGTGCACCTGTGGTAACTGTTGGGTCTGCTGGGGTTGCCTGGTCTAGGATGGCCTTACTTATTCACATATCTGGTGTTGGCTGGTTGTCAACTGGGGTGATAGGTAACTGGGTCTTTAATTCCGCAGGCTAGCTCGAGCTTGTTTCCATGGCAGCAATAGAGTTTCAAGAGATTGGGTGGAAGCAGCAAGGCCCTTTGGGGCCTGGACTCTGACCTGGCACTGTCGTTTCCATCCTACAGCCAGTCACAAGGCCAGCCCAGGTATGAGGGTGGGGACGTGGATTCCACCACTTGATGGGAAGCGCTGCAAAGCTGCGTAGGGCGTAGACGCAGAGAGCAATGAAGAATGTGACTATTTTGCATTCTACCACAGATTACCGTGATTTATTTAGGCCAACTCATCCCCTGGGGTACAGAAGAGGCTCCCTTCTCCCCAAATCAAGGAAGCATCCATACCCCTGGTCAGGGTACAGTTGCAGGGAATCAGGCAAAGACATGGTGGTTGGGCAGATGGCTGACAGTGTCTGCACAGGGGACCCACCCAGGCACAGGGAGGAGGAGGGAGACTTTGCAGCTTTAATTTCTCCAAGTCACCTTCCTTTTTCTGAAGAGGGTGATTTCCATCTGTCTTTAGTTGATGTTCGGCCTGGGCCTCATGCAACTCAGGTGTAAAAGCAATTTAAAAACAAACAAATTTGAACTCTGCCTCTGCCCCCACCCACCAGGGTTGGAAAACCCAGGGTCACTCACGGAGGATGGGGCTTGGGTGGGTGGTCTGGTCATTCTCCTCTCTGGGGTTTGCATGACCCAGGAAACGGGACAAAGACCTTTGGCATTTCGTCCATCCAGGTCACCTCTGAGATGCTTTTGTCCAAGCCCCAAGGGTCCATTAGAAAGTGGCAGGCTATCTCTGCCCCCTTGCCCCTGAACTTGTTGCAGGAAATTTCAGGCTATTATGGCCCATCCAAGTCTCTAACAAGGAACTTATAAGCTTCTCTGGTCTCCCCTTCTCAGGGAGTCCAACTCTCCCCTTCCCTCCTCAACTCCATCCTCTCCTCCTAACAGACCCAGGTCTCTCCAGTAACATCTGGGGGGATGGTTTTCTAGGGACCCAGGACCTGACTGTGCTTCCAGGAAGGAGACATACCCAAAGGGAACGGGCCGTGTGTGCTATAAACTAATCTGGGGGAGCGAGCAACATGTCAGCTGGGATGTAAGGGGAGCATGGGAGTGGGTTAGGTGACAAAGGGCTGGGGAGCCTGCAGTGGCATGTTCCAGGCCGAGGAACCATCACGGCGGCTGCTAACACATATTGAGCACTGTCCACATGCCAGGAGTATAAAGCAGACACTCTTGTTGTCCCCATTTTATGAAACTCAGAGAAGTTAAGTAACTTGCCCCATGATGTATTGTAGAATTGTATACCTGAAACCTATTTAGTTTTATTGACCTATTGACCCCAATAAAGTCAATAAACTTTTTTTAAAAAAATACATTTTTATTGATTTCAGAGAGAAGGGAGAGAGATAGAAACATCAATGATGAGAGAGAATCATTGATTGGCTGCCTCCTACACACCCCGGCAACCTGGGCATGTGCCTTTGACCAGAATCGAACTTGGGACCCTTCAGTCCGAAGGCCGACACTCTATCCACTGAGCCAAACCGACTAGGACAATAAACTTTTTAATGAAGTAAAAAAAAAGTGACTTGCTCAAGGTTGTGCAACCAGTAAGTGGCTAAGTTGGGATTTTAAATTCAACCAGTCTGATGCCAAAGCTCCCTCTTTTTTAGTTTATTTATTTTTTTAAATATATTTTTATTGATTTCAGAGAGGAAGGGAGAGGGAGAGATAGAAACATAAATGATGAGAGAGGATCTTTGATCGGCTGCCTCCTTCACGCGCTCCTACTGGGAATCGAGCCTGAAACCTGCTCTCTAGGCATGTGCTCTGACTGTGAATCAAACCGTGACCTCCTTTGAAACGGCCCCGGTGAGGTCGAGACGGCCCCGGTGAGGTCGGGATGGCCCCGGTGAGGTTGAAACGGCCCTGGTGAGGCTGAGACGGCCCCGGTGAGGTTGGGACTGCTCCAGTGAGGTTGGGACAGATAATGGGGACCAGTATAGACTGATGAACAGGGGTAGATGCAGAGGCAGAGCAACATTGAACAGACTGTCAAACTACAGTGGGAAGCCTGGGGAGGGTTGGGGGGGGGATTAAGAGATCAACCGAGGACTTATATGCATGCATATTGGGATTAACCATTGGACACAAGGCACGGGGGGTTGGTAGGGGCTGGGGGAATGTCGAGGGGGGAAAAAAAAAGGAGACATGTGTAATACTCTTTGTAATACTTTAAGAAATAAAAAAAACCAAAAAACAAAAACAACAACAACAAAAAAAAACCGTGACCTCCTGGTTCATAAGTCAATGCTCAACCACTGAGCCACACCAGCCAGGCCAAAGCTCCCCTCTGAACCACTTAGATTAACCTGGAGGTGAGAGTAGCAGGTTATTTGGAGACCCACAAGTAGTTTATTTTGGTTGGAACATAGTGTGTGAAGGGAAAGGTGGTACAACAAAAGGCTACAAGATATGGGTGACAGTGTGGAGCATCCTGTAGCCATGTTACTGCTTGAAGGCAACAAGGGAGGCCCTGCCAGGGCTATTTCAGTAATTTCAGCAATAAATGGTGGTGCCATCGGACTGGAAGATGATAGTACGAATAAAGGACAATGGTAGGATTCGTGGGTTATTTAGGAAGAATGGACAGGACTTAAGGATTGGTTGCAGCGGTTCTCAACCTGTGGGTCGCGACCCCTTTGGCGGTCGAACGACCCTTTCACAGGGGTCGCCTAAGACCATCCTGCATATCAGATATTTACATGACGATTCATAACAGTAGCAACATGACAGTTATGAAGTAGCAACGAAAATAATTTTATGGTTGGGTCACAACATGAGGAACTGTATTTAAAGGGCCAGAAGGTTGAGAACCACTGGATTAGAGGGAAAGAGAGAGGAGAGTCAAGAATGACTCTCAGGTTTCTGGCTTGAGCAACCAGATGGATGGTACTAACCCTATTTCTTCCCCAGATTTGCTATGTAACCTTGGGGCTCTCACCCAGGCTCTCTAGATATCTGTCTTCTTGGCTGTAAAACGAAGATAATGAAACCTGACCTTCCCATGTATCCAGATGGTGTCAAGATAAGATGAAGTCATCAATATGAAAGTGCCTTGGAAAGTCAGAAGTACTTTGCCAATGTAAGTGGTTATTATTTTATGGATGTTGTCAAGGTCCTCCCTCTCCTGGGGCTTGCAGATGGAGCCAGACTGAAAGGCAGCCCAGGGGAGCTGCCTGCTCACTCAGAGGAGCCGCTGTGTTTTCCATCAGGCGGATCTGTCTCTCTGGCAGGTGGGAACCACATTCCCACGTACTAAATTGTTAATAGCTTCCCCGGGGAGTTCCTCTCTGCTCCAACTCCTTCTGTGATTTCTGTTTCTCCACTGCTGACACCTTCTGATGCCCCCAGTTGGCTCGGGATTTCCCAAGCGTTTATGTTTTTGTGTTTTCCTCTGAAGTCAAGGATTCGGGAGTGGGGTGGGGGGAAGCCCCAAGCAAAGCCTGGGTAACCATTGTGTAACCCAGCCATGGAGGGCTGTGTCTACCCTGTGCTTGACCAAGAGCAGGGATGAACTCAAGGGGAAAACTGCCAAGCAGAGGCAGAAGCAATGGAATCTTATGTTTTATGGGGTGACTTCCTAAACCATTATATATATATATATATATATATATATATATATATATATATATATATATATATATGTGATTCAGAGAGGAAGGGAGAGGAGAGAGAGAGATAGAAACATCAATGATGAGAGAGAATCATTGATCAGCTGCCTCCTGCATGAGCCCTTTTATAATTGCATATACTAGTATATGTTTTTTTGGGGGGGGGGCAATTTTGTTCATGTAGTTGGTCATTTACATCTTTCACAGCTTCTTTTTTGTTTGTTTTTGTTAATCCTCACCCAGGGATATTTTTTCCATTGGTTTTTAGGGAGAGTGGAAGAGAGAGAGAAAGACAGAGAGAAACATCGACATGAGAGAAACACATCGATTGGTTGCCTCCTGCACGAGCCCTGACCAGGGCCCAGGCTGGGGAGGAGCCTGCAACCAAGGTACCCCTTGGGGCCCTTTGGTCCGCAGGCCAACGCTCTACCCACTGAGCCAAACCGGCTAGGGCTCTCTCACAGCCTCTTGATTTGAGCTTGTTTTGGAGAGCAATGGTCTTACTCATCCTTACGGTTTAGTAACGATGCTCAGGCAGCCTTTCTCAGTTGGCAGAGCATCGGTTGTTTCACCAGATTCTCACCCGTTCTGCACCTCTCTACCTTATAGAAGAGAACTAAGGCTCAGAGAAGTGAAGGGAATCTTTTTCTGTCTTTCGCCTCCACTATAGCGATGGGTTTCCACCATAGCATCTCTGTATCCAGGAGGGACTCAAAGAAACATTGTGAAATGCAATTAAAAAAAAATTGCTTTCAGCCCAGAGTGACTGGAGCATGAGATTGAGGTAGGAGTAGGGGATGGAGTCGCAAGAGGACAGCAATAAACCCTGGTGGGACCACCCTGGGAGGCCAAGGAGTGAGGGTAGACTTGCTTGGTGATGGCCAAAAGCCAGGGATGGGCATGGAGCTGGGATCTAGTATTTCAGTCCCAAGTAAGATGTGATTGCAGAGTTTATGCAAAGGATTTTAATTGCTTAGAATTCCTAGGCCTGCATTAAGCTCTGTTTGCTCTGTCTCCCTCAGGAAAATGAGAGCTCACCGAAGTTGGAATGGAACTACCTATTCACTCACTCACTGAGCACCAACAACTGTACTAAGGTGGGGGTGCAGGAATGCACTAGACCTACTGTAAAGGTGATGCACAAAAATCCAGTGAGGGCATAAATACTATGTAAGACATTCTGTAAAGAAGAGGTTCGTGATGCTATGAGAACAAATAACAAGGGGAGCCCTAGCCGGTTTGGCTCCGTGGCTAGAGCGTAGGCCTGTGGGCTGAAGGGTCCCAGGTTCGATTCTGGTCAAGGGCACATGCCCGGGTTGCGGGCTTGATCCCAGTAGGGACATGCAGGAGGCAGCCAATCAGTGATTCTGTCTCATTATTGAATTTTCTCCCTCTCCCTTCCCCTCTGAAATCAATAAAAATATATTAAAAACAAAAACAAGGGGCTTGGTCCAGTTGGTGGGATGGGGGCAGTGAATGGAGTGATAGTTAAGCTGAAACCTGAAGGATGAATAGCATTTAGCCTGGGGAAGTGACAGCCTTCCAAGTGGAAGAAATAGAGTGTGTAATATCCTGAGGAAGGAAAACGTTTGGCTTGTCGGAAGGGTAGGGAGGGGCCAGAACTCCAATAAAGTAGCTCTCCTCTTTCTTGCCCCAATTTCTTCCCCTGGCACCAGAAAAGTCTCTGAGTGTCAGGCCCTTTGGGACAGGGGAGAGAGTTTTGGCAACACATGTGACCACAGAGGGAAAATCACCTCTCCGAGGAGTCCTTAGATCAGCGGTTCTCAACCTGTGGGTCGCGACCCCTTTGGCGGTCGAACGACCCTTTCACAGGGGTCGCCTAAGACCATCCTGCATATCAGATATTTACATGACGATTCATAACAGTAGCAACATTACAGTTATGAAGTAGCAACGAAAATAATTTTATGGTTGGGACACAACATGAGGACCTGTATTTAAAGGGCCAGAGGGTTGAGAACCACTGCCTTAGATGGTTAAGTGGGAAGCCTGGGGGTGAGGAGTCTACTGTAGCTGATTGAGTGGCTTGGGCAGCAGCTGGGAGGGGCAAAGAGAATGGAGAGGAGGGTGAACTTGAGAATTCTGGCTTTGCTCTTCCTGGGAAAGGGTAAGAGCCTTGCATATAGATGGATGACTCAAGCCAGAGAGTGAGATGGGTGAGGGGTCCTTGCCAGCCACTCTCAGGGCCATGAGCATCACCCCAAAGCCTCCAGTTCAGGAACCCAATGTGGTCCCATTCCATTCATCTAACCAGTGTTTTCTGAGCACTCACTCTGACCCTAGCCCTCTACTGGGTGGAGAGATCAATCAAGCCTGGTTTCCCCAAGGAGGAAACAAACTCAGGTAGAAATAATTGCTCTATGGGATAATTTAGTGCCTAGCTTAGTCTTCTCATCTGTAAAATGGGGACAGTAATAATAGAATCTACTCCAAAGGGTTGATGCATGGATAAAGTGCCAGGCACAGGGTGATGGTTGGTAGAGAGAATGTTCTGGGAAGGACAGGAGCCCCAAGAAGGAGGACGGTTCTCGGCCTGGGCAGGTCAGGGGAGGGAAGGAATATGAGAAATGCCCCCTTCTGGTGGCATTTGAGACCTTCCCCCCCCTCATCCCATTCTCTCCACACCTGCTCCCTTATCTTGTCTTCTTCCTGGCCTCCTCTGAGGCCTCTGACCACAGTGCCTTTGCACACGTGGACATGTGGTTCCCTAAGTTAGTTACTCCCAAACTTCACATCTCACCTTCAGTGCCATTTTGTCAGGAGAGTTGTCCTGACCTCTGTGTTTTGCAGGCGCTGCCGCAGGAAAACCTTGCTTACCTTCACTTTCCTCCATTTGTAACTCTATCTTCATCGGTGTAATTTTAGGGTTGGTGTCTCCCCTTCACTGGACTGTAAGCCCCAGAAGGTAGGGGCCACACCAGCTTTCGTGCACTAGCGGATCCCCAGTAGTTCCTGGTTCTTACCACCTCCCCCCAATCCCCGCCCAAGTCCGCTGAGTGAATGAATGGGGTACAAGAAACCATGGATACTAATGGTTATTTATGGAGCACTTACTGTGCGCCACGCACTGAGCTAAGTTCTCGACTTAATCTCTGAGCCAAGTGGTGTGATGATCCTCATTTCACCGAGGAGGGTGATGGAGTTGAGAGGTTAAGTGACTCGCTCAAGGTCACTGTTCCTTAGTGCAGGGTGAGAGGCAAGATTCACCTCCAGG